TACACTGATAGTTCTCTACAGTGATGGGGGCAGGGAAGAGGGAGATGTCGAGTATGAAATATATTTTCAGTCTGATAATAACTGGAAATTCTTGGGGGGCTTGGTTTATAACTATAGATATCCAATGCCTAGAACTACCTCTGAACATACAGGTTCCTCAATAAATATTTTTTTGTTTGAATGAGTGAATGATCTTATCGATGAGTGGATGAGTGGAAGGTCACATCTTACCTGCCTCACATGCTCTCCATCCATCTTTTTACTTCAGCTATTACTGTGGAACCAACAGCTTGCAAGTGTTACCCGACAGTACTTGCTCCCAGCTATGGCTTCTATCTTTTGCCTTTTGCCTAGGGCCTTTTTTTGATGCAAACTTGTAGGACATCTACCGTTTTCTGACACTTGTGTAAACCTGGAAGAGTAAGGGAATTAACACTTAAGGGGCAACTTTTGACCATTGAGAGTTGGAGAGAGCAGATAAATATTCTCTTTTCTGCTTTTTTGAATCACACTGTATACGGGTCCACAGAAGGTCCCAAGTGGAACAATGTTCCAGTCTCTCAAAGTGGCTCAATACTGCACCCCTGGCCGAGCTTTCCCTCTTCCCATTTCACTCTTCATGGTCCCCCATTTTTTAATTTTAATTTTTAAAAGTGTTTTTTAAAATTTATTTTAGAGAGAGAGGGAGAGGGAGAGAGAAACATCCATGTGAGAAATATCTACCGGCTGCCTCCTGCACACCCCCTATTGGACATGGAGCCTGCAACCTGGGCATGTGCCCTGGCTGGGAATCGAATGATGCATAGGACGATGTTCGACCAACTGAACCACATTTTTGTCCCTTGGGATTGCATTCCACAATAAACTATGCGCATCTAGTTCTTGTCTCAGGCTCTGCTTTTTGGGGGAGCTCAGCCTAAGACAGAGATTTTTATGTATAATGGAATTATCTCTGAACAAGGACGCAGAAAGTCTGGGTTTCAGACAGAGGTCTATCACTAACCTCAAATAGAGATGGGCACTTTTAAAAAATATATATATTTTATTGATTTTTTACAGAGAGGAAGGGAGAGGGATAGAGAGTCAGAAACACCGATGAGAGAGAAACATCGATCAGCTGCCTCCTGCACGCTTCCCACTGGGGATGTGCCCGCAACCAAGGTACATGCCCTTGACCAGAATTGAACCTGGGACCCTTGAGTCTGCAGGCTGACTCTCTATCCACTGAGCCAAACCAGTCAGGGTGAGATGGGCACTTTTACCACAATTTTCAGACACACATGTGTTGACAGGTAAAGTTCTCCACGCCATTTGTTAACTGAGGGGGGAAAAAGCTAGGCCCCCCCCCCAAAAATGCTTGTAGTATGGTCTCATATGGATCTTGTGTGTGTACATATATGTTAGTAAATGTATACAAAATGGTGGACTCTCACGGTTTTCTATATATATTTTTATTATCCCACTTCTAGGAATATATCCCAAGAAACTAGAAACACCAATCAGAAAGGATACATGCACCCCTATGTTCATAGCAGCACAATTTACAATAGCTAAGATTTGGAATCAGCCTAAGTGCCCATCAGCAGGTAAGTGGATTAAAAAACTGTGGTACATCTACACAATGGAATACTAAGCTGCTGTAAAAAGGAAGGAACTGCTACCATTTGCAACAGCATGGATGGACCTGGAGAGCATTATGCTAAGCGAAAAGTCATTCAGAGAAAGATAAATATCACATGATCTCACTCCTTTGTGGATTATAATGAACAACATAAACTGATGAACAAAAACAGATCCAGCGACAGAGAAGCATAGATCAGATGCTCAAACCTCAGAAGGGCCGGAGCTGGTTTGGCTCAGTGGATAGAGCATCGGCCTGCGGACTGAAGGGTCCCAGGTTCGATTCCAGTCAGGGGCATGTACCTGGGTTGCAGGCACATCCCCAGTGGGAGATGTGCAGGAGGCAGCTGATCGATGTTTCTCTGTCATCGATGTTTCTAACTCTATCTCTCTCCCTTCCTCTCTGTAAAAAATCAATAAAATATATTAAAAAAATATTCCACCACCTTTAAAAAACAACAACAAAAAACCCTCAGAAGGAAGGCAGGGAAGGTGGGGTAAGGGGGAGCGATCAACCAGAGGACTTGTATGCGTGGATATAGGCCTAACTAATGGACACAAACACCAGGAGGGTGAGGGCATGAACGGGGGTGGGGGGGTGAGGGGGTGGGGAGTGGGGGTGGGGGGGGCAATGGGCGGATAAGAACATATGTAATGCCTTAATCAATAAAGAAAAACAAAAAAAAATAATTTTTATTGATTTCAGAAAGGAAGAGAGCAGGAGATAGAGATAGAAACATCAATGATGAGAGAGAATCATTGATCAGCTGCCTTCTGCACGACCCTCACTGGGAATCGAGCCCGCAACCCGGGCATGTGCCCTTGACCGGAATGGAAGCCCGGACCCTTCAGTCCGCAGGCCGACGCTCTATCCCCTGAGCCAAACCGGCCAGGGCTCTATATATTTTTGTATGCCTTGAATAATTTGCAAGAAGAATGTATCTTGTGTAATGAAAAAAAAAAAACCCACAAAAAACCGACCACCTCCAAGGCCGTGGAATTATGCTTGTGAAAGTGCAGAGCCCGAGGCAAACTGCTTCACCCTCGCCAGGTGAGAGAGCCGAGCTGTGCTCAGGTGCGCGCGCTAGGGGGCAGCGCAGCCAGGGCAGAGGCTGGGCGGGCCAGAAACCCGGAGCTGCGGGAGGGAGGGCCTTGGGTCTCCGTAGTCGCCAGCCGGGAGAAGTGTAGGGCAACCTAAGTTTACCGCTACCCGCTCTCCCCGAGGCAGGACATGGCAGAAGTCATAAATTCCATCCCTCTGCTGCCGCCGGGCAGACCCGAGTGGGGACCCTCCACTCCCCTGAGAGGAGCTTGGCACCCCCAGCAGTCTCCAGGCTCGTTGGTGCCACATTTGCGCTTCACAGCTCTCTCCTCGCCGCCCCCCCGTCCCCCCCAGCACCCGCAGAGGGGAAATTGAGTCACTGGGAGGCGAGGCCAGAGTCCCCAGGGGAATGTGCGCCGTCGCCAGCCCTCGGGGCCTTCCAGATGCTGGGAGGAGGGGCAGGTTCTCCAGGAAAATACACAAAGGGGGTGAGAGGGGGAGGCTGCTGGCTGAGCAGGAGCCCAGCCAGACACATGGAGAAACGCTGCCCAGGATCAAAGGAAATAATGACATTTGAAAAGAATGTGCGCGTCTGCCCGCGGCGCGGAGGGGGCTCGGCTGGCGGGGTGGAGGGCCGCGGGGCCGGGCCGGGCCGGGCTGCACCCCGCCCCTCGCGCCCCCGCGCCCACCTCCCTGGCCCCTCCTCCCGCTTAGGTGGGCGCCGTCGCAGGTCTCGGGTGTTCCTCGCTCTCCCTCCTCGTGCGCCTCTCCTCCCTTTATTTCCGAGTTGGGGCTGGAAGGGAAGTGTAACCCGAGGAGACCCACCAGAGGGGGAAAATCAAACCCGCCGCCTCCCGCCCGGCCGCGGAACATTCTTCTCTCCCCGCCGGCCGGCCTCTTCTCCCCGCCCCTCCCGCGTCGCGGCCTGGGCTCGGAGCCGGGGCAGCTCCGCACGTCACTGGGGTCCCCGGGGGCTGGGGGGTCCCCAGGGCGGGCCATAGGGAGGATGGGAGGGAGGGAGGGAGGGAGGGAGGCGAGGGAGGGGAGCTCGGGCCGCCCGGCCAGCCCGCCCCGCTTCCCCGCCCGGCAGCGCCTGTTTCTCATTAGAGTAGCGGGCGCGGTCCCGCCCGGCTCGCGAGTGTTTGTAAACGTCTGACCCGAGGGCCGTCGCTTAACCCTTTAGGTGCGGGGGTGGGGGGCGCCACGGGGGAAGCAGCCCGAGCCGGAGGGATTTACATGAAAGATCGCGTGTTAGAAAAGTTTGAAGTGGACAGTCCGCGCGGGGCGGCGGGGGAGGGGGTGACACCCCACCCCTTCCGCCGTCTGAGTCAGGGATTTCGGACCTAATTCCCTCTCACACACCGGGGCCCTTCCTTGCTGGCCCTTCCTAGAAAATCCAGTCCAAGTTTTTCTTCCTCCTCCCGCCCAGGTGACAGGTGTCCTACTAGGGGCCCTTGGAGTCGCCGGGCTCTGGGCCCCTAGTAAACCTGGCCGGGATTTTCAGGAGAGCCGGAGCGGGATGCCAAAGAGTCAGAGATTCATTCCGGGCTGCAGTTCTAGGGTGGGGGGAGCCGACTTCCCTAGGAGGCTAATTAATGGCCCCTCTGGGTGCCTGGGACAGGGGCAGCGGAAAAGCCCGGCCTGGATCCTCGCCCATCTGGGGCCGTGGACCCATGAACAGTTCTCCAGGACAGCTGAATGTTTCTTCACCTTTGGGGTAGGGTGGGGGGCTGGGGGTGGGGGAGAGACAGCCGGTGGAGGGGCTGCTCTGACTGAGCCAAGGCTTCTCGAAGGCCCAGGCAGGGCGGGCTCAGGCGAGGGACTTGGAAGGAAGGGCCTTTCCCTCTGCAGAGCAGCCTGCATCCACTCTGCACCCCGCAGTCCGCTTGGCCTGAGGCTCGGAGGGAAAGAGGAGGAGAGGGGGTCCTTTCTAGCTAGTTGGTGGCTGCGGAACTCCTTCAGAACGTAAGAAAGCGTCTCCGTGGGCCCTCCACCCCGCGAGCCCCAAATGTGGCCTCTTTAAGGCACTCGGACCCGGAGCCCCTGAACTTCAGCTAAGTTGGGGGTTGGGGGTGGTAGTGCTCCAGGCATCGGGCAGTGATTGTCACAACCGCGGGCCAATCGGCACCATTGTGGTCATCCCACGCTGGAGGGACCGTTTTCCAATTCAGTTTTGTTCTCTTTTTTTTTTTTCTTGAGGGGGAGGGGCTGGAGGGAGGACAGAGGGAGAGAGGGAGGGTGGGGAAGGACGAGGGGCGCGTGGTTTTCCCATCTCATCCCCGGAGGAGGGGCCGGAGCATCCCGGGCAGCCAATCAGGGCCGGGCTGGGGGGGCCCGCTTTGAAGAAGTTTGGGGAAAAAAGTTTGGAAAAGTTTCTATAATAACTAGGGGGCGTCCGGAGGGAGGCGGCAGCGGCGGAGGAGGGGGCGTCTCAGACAAGGGGCGGGAGGGAGCCGCGGGCGCAGCGACGGCAGCCTCCTGAGCGCCCCCTCCCACCCGGACCGGGACGGGGGGCTCCGGCCGGATCCATGGGGGCCGCGAGCTGCGAGGATGAGGAGCTGGAATTTAAGCTGGTGTTCGGGGAGGAGAAGGAGGCCCCCCCGCTGAGCGCAGGGGGCCCGGGGGAAGGTTAGTGCGGGGCTGGGAGGGGGTCTTGGGTCCGAGAGGGCAGGGCCCGGGGATTCTGAGTCTGGGGACCCCGGGGCAGCGAGCCTGGGGAGGGAGAGGACAGGGTCGGAGGTTGAAGGGAGTCGCGGGGCCGGGGGCTCTGTGGAGGTCTTCGGGGGGCCGGGCACCACTTTCTCCTTTTTAGGTGGTGACGGGGGTGGGGGCGGGGGTGCCGCTGGCTGCGCGCCGCCTCTCGGCTGGGCCGACTGTCACTGGGATCGGGGGCGAGCGGGAGCGGCGGTCCCGGGACCCCCGGCGCCGCCCCGGGAAAGGAAGGTTGGGCTCCGGAGCGTGCCCCTTGCAGACCGAGCCCGAGGCCGGCGGACCCGACGCCGGGGCCGGGACCCCGGGCACTCTCGGGGCCCGCCGGGGCGCCCCTCCCCCTCCCCGTCTGGCCGCAACAAGAGGCAGATGGCTGGGACCGTGCCGGGGGCGGCGGCTGCCGTTCGCACGGAATCCGTGCAGCGCGCGCCCCCCCCCACCCCACCCCACGGGCCGGGCGAGCAGCACCCCCGCCCCCAAATTGGGGGGGGGTGGGGAGCGAGGGAGGAGCCACCTCTCCTCGTCACCACTGCCCTGGCGCGCCCCCCGCCCCCCCTTCTTCCCTGGCCACTGTTGCGATAGCAACTGGGGCTCCTGCCAGCGCTGTTTGGGGGTTTGGGAACCGCTACTAATTGGGTTCATGTGTGAGTCGCCCCCAGCCCAGCCGGGCGCCTCTCTAAACGCGCCTCCAGGCCCCACTCCAGCCCCTCTCGACCTACATCCCTCACCTTCAGACCCACCCCGTCTGGTGCCCCAGGTCCCAGGGCAGGGGGCTCAGAGTGTGGGGTTTTCCGTGTGGGAACAGGCTTGGCGCTTCTGAATCCGTCTCTTCCACCTTCCGAGGTTCAACGGTGCTTCTGTCTTTGTGGCTCTGAAGGGCACCTTAGAGACCCCTCTTTGCTGAGGAGGGGGTGGCATACAAGACTAAGGGGGTTGATCTCTCCAGGAACCCAGACATCTTCTCACCTGCTTCTCTCTCTCCCCATCTCCCGTGGCATCCCTCTCTCTATCCCCCTCTCTCTGTCCCCCTCCCTCCCCATTTCGACAGAACTGGACTCAGAGGACACTCCGACATGCTGCCGCCTGGCCCTGGGGGAGCCCCCTCCCTATGGCGCGGCCCCTATTGGCATTCCCCGGCCACCACCCCCTCGGCCTGGCATGCACTCGCCGCCGCCCCGCCCAGCCCCCTCCCCTGGCACTTGGGAGAGCCAGCCGGCTCGTTCGGTGAGGCTGGGGGGGCCCGGAGGGGGCTCGGGTGGGGCCGGGGGAGGCCGTGTCCTGGAGTGCCCAAGCATCCGCATCACTTCCATCTCTCCCACGCCTGACCCGCCAGCCACCCTGGAGGACAACCCCGATGCCTGGGGGGACGGCTCTCCCAGGGATTACCCCCCACCAGAAGGCTTTGGAGGCTACCGAGAGGCAGGGGGCCAGGGCGGGGGCCCCTTCTTCAGCCCCAGCCCTGGCAGCAGCAGCCTGTCCTCCTGGAGCTTCTTCTCAGACGCCTCTGATGAGGCCGCCCTGTATGCCGCTTGCGATGAGGTGGAGTCTGAGCTAAACGAAGCGGCCTCCCGCTTTGGCCTGGGCTCCCCACTGCCCTCGCCCCGGGCATCCCCTAGGCCATGGACCCCCGATGATCCCTGGAGCCTGTATGGTCCAAGCCCTGGAGGCCGGGGACCAGAAGATAGCTGGCTACTTCTCAGTGCTCCTGGGCCCTCCCCAGCCTCCCCACGGCCAGCCTCTCCATGTGGCAAAAGGCGCTATTCAAGCTCCGGAACCCCATCTTCAGCCTCTCCAGCTCTGTCCCGCCGGGGCAGCCTGGGAGAAGAGGGGTCCGAGCCACCTCCACCACCCCCACTGCCTCTGGCCCGGGATCCTGGCTCCCCTGGCCCCTTTGACTATGTGGGGGCCCCACCAGCCGAGAGCATCCCCCAGAAAACCCGGAGGACTTCCAGTGAGCAGGCAGTGACCCTGCCTCGGTCTGAGGAGCCGGCTCCGTGCAACGGGAAGCTGCCTTCGGGAGCAGAGGAGACTGCAGCTCCTCCAGGTGGTGCTCGGAAGGAGGGAGCTGGCATGGACTACCTGGCAGTGCCCTCCCCTCTGGCTTGGTCCAAGGCCCGGATTGGGGGACACAGCCCCATCTTCAGGTGAGGGTTGTGCCCGGCACCACTGCCATTCCACTTTGGAGCAGGTCAAGGGATCAGTTTGAAGAAAGGTCCTAGTTCTGTGCCCTTGGCATTTCAAAAAGAGAATCTGTAACCAGCTTGGCTGCTATCATTTACCCACTTTTAGGGAGGATTAAATCAACAGCAACATACCCCTTCTACAAACTGATGATTTGCAAAAGGATAATCATTCCCTGTGGATCAATAAGAAAAAGCCCCGCCCCCGCCCCGCCCCCACCCCTTAGGCAAAGCGGGAGTTCCTCTAGAGCAGTGGTTCTCAACCTTGCTAATGCCACGACCCTTTAATACAGTTCCTCATGTTGTGGTGACCCCCAATTTCATTGTTACAAATTGAACATAATTAAAGCATAGTGATTAATCACAAAAACAATATGTAATTATACATGTGTTTTCCTATGGTCTTAGGCGACCCCTGTGAATGGGTCGTTTGAGCCCTAAAGGGGTCGCAACCCACAGGTTGAGAACCGCTGCTCTAGGGTCCTCCACACCTAGTTTTGGGCTGGCATGGTCTGGACATGGACTATGGAATGGATTTCATACTTACACGGGGTAGCAGGAAGTCCCCCTTCTCTAACTTTTAATTTCTAGGGCCCAATTTGTGCCTTAAAAGTATAGCTGCTCATTTGAATTAAAATAGCATATATTTGCAAGACAAAAATTCATATTAAAACAAGCAGTTCTTGCATTCTTTTATCCATTTTACCCTCAAAGAATCCTGTCCATTTCAATAATCCTGAATCTTGGGATGTCAGGTTGAGCTGGCTCCATCCAGGAAAGTTTCCCGGGAAAAGAAACCTTAACACCTGTTCTCCTTGGTTCCCCTAGGGCAGGGTTTCTCACCCTCAGCACTACTGATATTTTGAACAGGATAATTCTTTGTTGTGGAGGCTGTGCTGGGCTTTGTAGGATGGTTTAGCAGCATCCCTGACCTCTACCCACTAGGTGCTGGTAGTACCCCCTCCTCTAGTGTGACAACCAAAAAATGCCTCTAGACATTGCCAAATAGCACCTGGGGACCATCACCAGTTGAGGCCGCCCCTGGCCTCAGGTATCTGGGAGCTCAATAGAGGAATAACCCCTAGTTCCCTGACTGGACCTGTCCAGTCCCAACTAGTGGAATGGGCACTGACTGGGAACAGGGCGTGTGCTCAGTCCTGGCTTCTGTCAGTCACTGGCTTGCTTGGCTCACCATGTTCTAACATCTGGGTCTCAGTTTCTTTATTTGAAAAACAAAGGGGTTTATCTCCGAGGCCATGTTCAGTCTGAAATGGTGCTTCTTTCCTGGACTCTTTTCCCATCCAGGTCTAAGGATTAGGATGGGCTTTGGGTTCCTCTGTATCCAAGTGAACCATTGCCACCTCAGACTCTGTGCTCAGAGCTGGGAAGGAGGGAGTCTCAGGCCCGGTGCCATCTTCCACACCCTCATCTTGAGGGGTTCTGAGGGCCCTTCCCCTCTCACCCTGCTTCTGGGCTTTTGGACTATTTTATTCCCACACCCAAATCCCCTCCTCCCTCACATGCCAGGGAGCTGAGACTCGGTGCTGCCCTGACCAGAGTCTGAGGCTATAGATCAGTGATGGCAAACCTTTTGAGCTCAGCGTGTCAGCATTTTGAAAAACCCTAACTTAACTCTGGTGCCGTGTCACATATAGAAATTTTTTGATATTTGCAACCATAGTAAAACAAAGACTTATATTTTTGATATTTATTTTATATATTTAAATGCCATTTAACAAAGAAAAATCAACCAAAAAAATGAGTTTGCGTGTCACCTCTGACACGTGTATCATAGGTTCGCCATCACTGCTATAGATGATCAGTGCTCTTTTCTTCTGTCTAGGACCTCTGCCCTACCCCCACTGGACTGGCCTCTGCCCAGCCAGTACGAGCAGCTGGAGCTGAGGATTGAGGTGCAGCCTCGAGCCCACCATCGGGCCCACTATGAGACAGAGGGCAGCCGAGGTGCTGTCAAAGCTGCTCCTGGTGGTCACCCTGTAGTCAAGGTAAGGGGCAGAGGCCTGATAGCCTTCCTCTTCTCCAGTCCCAGATCCCTGCAGATGGGCTCCAGCTGTGCAGACCCGTGGCACTGCCCTTTCCCACACTCCCTCTCAGCAGTGACCCTGTAGGCAGACTGGAGTTGGGGGAGGAAGGGTGCCTTTCAAGGACCCGGATATACTTTCTACTCCTCTATCCCTCCACCCCCACTCCCTTCATCCCATGGGACACCAGCCTCATGTCTACTGTGGAAAATGATGGCCTGCCAGATGTGGGGGAGGGCTTAGGCTGAGGCCAAAGTTCACTGGGAGTTAGGTTGTCTTCATTGAGTTGGGCCAGTCTCTCTTGGGAGATTTTCCCCTTTGCCCAGCTCAGTTTGAGCCTTATTCCAAGAATAACACTGTGAACTCCAGGCCACATTTTCTCCACAACAGATGCCCAATCCCCCCTGGGAATCCCTTCCAGGATATCCTTTGTCTTTCACTAGCCTTACCCTTTGGAGGACTGAAAACCCTGGGATGGATGAAAGATCAGACAGCGGAGATTTCAGTTGTGTTGCCTGTGTCTCCCTCTGCCAGCTCCTAGGCTACAGTGAGAAGCCACTGACCCTACAGATGTTCATCGGCACTGCAGACGAAAGGAACCTGCGGCCTCATGCCTTCTATCAGGTGCACCGCATCACCGGCAAGATGGTGGCCACGGCCAGCTATGAAGCTGTAGTCAGTGGTACCAAGGTGTTGGAGATGACCCTGCTTCCTGAGAACAACATGGCAGCCAAGTAGGTTCCCACTCTACTCCCCCTCTGTCCTCAGGCTTTAGGACCAGTCTTTCCCATGCTTCCTCTTCCCAGGAGAGCTAGACATCATCCAGAGGAGCAGTTTCAGGCTTCCTCACCATCTAGAAGAGGACTTTTGGGGCTCGGGAGCAGTCTGCAGAGGCCACCTCTGGGTTAAAATAGTCCTCCTAGGCTCCCAGACCAGGTCTTCAGGGCTTTGGATAGAGGGTTGGGGGGCTTCCCTCTTGGGGTGCGGGTATTACCATGCTGGCTTCAGCTGGGAAGGCTTGCCTTCCATTCTTTGCCTTCAGCATTGACTGTGCTGGAATCCTGAAGCTTCGGAATTCAGACATTGAGCTGCGGAAGGGTGAGACGGATATCGGGCGCAAGAACACACGTGTGCGGCTGGTATTCCGGGTACACGTGCCCCAGGGCAGCGGGAAGGTCGTCTCTGTGCAGACAGCATCAGTGCCCATCGAGTGCTGTGAGCAAAGAGGCCCTATGCCATCTCTCTGTCTCTGTGACCATCTTGTCTGTGTGTCTGTCTGTCCACCTTATCTCCTCTGCATAGTGTCCTGTGCCCCATCTTTCTTGGGTAGCGCTGCAAAGGAGTTAGCCCTCATTTCTATGGTGGGAGGAGTATTCTAATTTGCCCCTGCTGCTGACTCTGTCTCTGGGATGGACTAGAGTGCCCCTGTCCTCCCTCTGTGGTCGGTGGCTCTGTGCACTTGTTTGATTAACTCTCTGGCCTGCCCTGCTGCTCACTGTCTGCCTGGGTGTCTCTCTACATGGTGTGTGCCACCCCAGGGGCTCCGTGGGTTTACTTGTGTGTCTGCCACCGAGGAGGGCTCCTCCAGGGCCCTGTGGCAGTTATTCCAAGGGCATGGGGCAGAGGAGGCTGTCCTCTCCATATGCAGTCCAGCCAGGCCTTTCCTGCACTGCTCTGCAGCCCAGCGCTCGGCCCAGGAGCTGCCCCAGGTGGAGGCCTACAGCCCCAGTGCCTGCTCCGTGAGAGGAGGAGAGGAGCTAGTGCTAACTGGCTCCAACTTCCTGCCGGATTCCAAGGTGGTGTTCATCGAGAGGGGCCCCGGTGAGTACTCACTGGGGAAGGAAGGGCAGTGGGGAAGAGTTGGGACAGGCAGGTGAAAGAACTCTGGCACTGCCACTAAACTAACTTCTCTGTAAAACAGGCAGATAGACTATCCTTCCTCTTGGACTTTCTGCTTCATGGGCATGACAGCAATCTGTAATGCTCAGGATGGTGAACAAGTGTAAGAAATACACATTCCATTTTTTAGGGAGAAGTTGGTTTTGAGATAATTGACCCCATGTGGATAGGCTGCAGGGGTGGTCAAACTTTTTGACTCGAGGGCCACAATGGGTTCTTAAACTGGACCGGAGGACCGGAACAAAAGCATGGATGGAGTGTTTGTGTGAACTAATATAAATTCAAAGTAAACATCATTACATAAAAGGGTACGGTCTTTTTTTTTTTTTAGTTTTATTCATTTCAAACGGGCCAGATCCAGCCCGTGGGCCGTAGTTTGCCCACGGCTGGGATAGGGTCAATGAGGAGAAGGGAAGAGGTAAACTTCATAGTCCCATGCTCAGTCCCTCCTGAGTTATGAGCCAGTAGCACAGCTATGATTACGAGAGCCTGTGACATACCCCAAGATGGAGCCTCAGAGGGAGAAGGGAAGACCGAGGGGCCCAGGTGCACCCACCAGCTTGAGGCCTTTGTCCTCTCCCAACCCTGAACACCAAGAGCCCTAGCACCGGTGCTCATATAGAGCAGATTTTGAGATGCTGGATCATGAGACTTGAGGTCTCATTGCCCTCCTTCAAGCTAGGACCCTTTCCTATCCTTGAACTTCCTCCCAACACTATCATGGGAGGGGATGTTTGGAACAGGATGGGAGGGTTCACGAGTTGCTTTTGTCCCCCACTCCCTTTGGTTCCTAGGCTGGTCCTGCTATCTCTGTTGGTCTCAGCTTGCTGCTCTATTCTTATAGACAGTTTAAAACCCTGCCTTTTCCATTCAATTGAATAAACATGCAGCAGGCTTCTTTGTGAGTGAAGCCTTGTAGAGGCCTTCTGAATCTGGCCTCAGCTCTAGCAGGAGGGGAAGTGGCAGAGGACTGGGTATGGGGTGGGGGCCCTGGAGCTGGGCTGGAGTAGTCTGTTCCCCCTGCACAGATGGAAAGCTGCAATGGGAGGAGGAGGCCACTGTGAACCGGTTGCAGAGCAATGAGGTACAAGTGTCACTGGGGTGCCCACCATCTGGGCGGGGCGGGGTGGGGGCGGGGAAGACGGCAGGGAATTCCCAGGAGTGGCCCTTGACCAGGGGAAGGGACTCCAGGAGTGACCTGTTCTTTTCTAGAGGACACATTCTGGCCCCTTGAAGCAGGTTCTTCTCTAGGGGATGAACTTCACTCCTTAGCAAATGGAAAAATCCAGGAGGTGGAGTTCCGGTCCTTGGAAGGGCTGGGCTGAGCCTAGGTTCCTGAGGGCTCCCTGCCTATCCTCTGCTCCTTCCAGGTGACACTGACCCTGACTGTCCCTGAGTACAGCAACAAGCGGGTGTCCCGGCCCGTCCAGGTCTACTTTTATGTCTCCAACGGGCGCAGGAAGCGCAGCCCTACCCAGAGTTTCAAGTTCCTGCCTGGTGCGCTCTAGGACAGCCCACGGTGGGGTGTGGGGGTGAGGGGAGCGTTGGCAGGGCAGAGGGATGCCATGCCTTCATCGTGAGGGATCTTGGGATGGGAAGGTAGATGGAGGGTGTGCAGTGTGTGTGTGTGTGTGGGGGGGGGGACGGGGGGTGCTGCCAGTCTTCTCACCAGTGTGTCCTCCTGCTTCATATCCACCCAGTGATCTTCAAGGAGGAGCCCCTACCAGACTCATCTCTCCGGGGCTTCCCTTCAGCCTCAGGCCCCTCCTTCGGCACTGACATGGACTTCTCACCCCCCAGACCCCCCTACTCCTCTTATCCCCATGAAGACCCTGCTTACGAACCTCCTTACCTGTCAGAAGGTTTCAGCTATGGCACACCCCCTCTGTACCCCCAAACGGGGCCCCCACCATCATACAGACCTGGCCTTCGGATGTTCCCTGAGACTGGGGGTACCACAGGTTGTGCCCGTCCACCAGTCTCCTTCCTTCCTCGGCCCTTTCCCAGTGACCCCTATGGGGGACGGGCCTCCCCTTTCCCCCTGGGGCTGCCATTCCCTCCTCCAGCCCCTTTCCAGCCTCCACTGCCTTCCTCCCCACCGCTGGAAGGCCCCTTCCCTCCCCAGAGTGGTGTTCACCCCCCACCTCCTGAGGGGTACAATGAGGTAGGGCCAAGCTATGGCCCTGGGGAGGGGACTCCGGAGCAGGAGAAATCCAGGGGTGGCTATGGCAACGGCAGCGGCTTCCGAGACAGTGTCCCTATCCAGGGTATCACGCTGGAGGAAGGTGAGTGTGGAACTGGCCGCTGCAAGTGTGAGTGTGTGTAAGAGATTGCTCTGCATGTTTGCTGAGGGCTGGCGCTTGATCCCTTGAGACCAGTCAGGGGGTCTCAGGAGGCAAGTTCGTGGTGCATGCAGCCACATGAACCCCGTTAACTTAATTCTGAAGGGTGCATGGAGTTCCTGCCTCTGCCCCAGATCACAAAATCACAGATTACAAGTACTTTCAAGATCACTTAATATACCTCCCCCGTTTGCAGATTGAAGCACTGAATTTCAGAGAGGAGCAGTGGCTTGCTGAGGTCTCAGTCAGGCATGCTTTCCCTTGCCTCAGCTTCCCCCTAAACATGCTGACTGTGGTCAGGATTGGTGATGAAGAACCTTGATATTTTGCCTCTTCCTCCCACTGACTACACCCACCACTGGCCCTGCTGACAGCGATTGTCCTGACATTGCGGGCTGCTGAGCCAGCAGGAGAGGGCTACGATGGGGGCCCGGGAGCCCACATGAATGGAGCTGAGCAGATTTGATTGGGAGCAGGTGTTAAGATATATTGGGGAAAGTGAGGCCCAGTGGAGGAGGAGCCTAGAGGCTTCTTAGACTAAAGCCTGTCTTGCATGGGTTGGGGGTCTCTGGAAAAGGAAGGGAGCTGCCCCTAGCCCAATCTCTCCATTGTCCCTCCATTACAGTGAGTGAAATCATTGGCCGAGACCTGAGTGGCTTCCCAGCACCTCCTGGAGATGAGCCTCCTGCTTGAACCATCACCTGGCAATTCCAGCTTCCTGGCCCCTCCAGCCCTGCCCACTTTCCCTTCATCCTGGGGTGGTGGTTCCAGAAGCTTGGGGCCAATCTGGTTCTTCTTTCCCCAGCTTTTGCCTCTTTCCCCCTGGCCCCCTCCTCCTCCCCTAGCTGAGATGTGGCCCCCTGGGCCTGGTGCTGCCAGGGAAGGCTCAGTGAGGGACAGCACGGAGGACGGAGGCTGGGTGGGAGGACTGACTGGAGTGAAGGCTGTGTCTAGATTGTGTACGGGCCCTGGTGCTGGGAGTCTGGGACGGGTGGATGGATAATAAACTGCTCACTGATGAGTGCTTCAGGCTCCAGAGCTCTTTGGCAAGAGAGGAGGGGCAGCTTACCCTAGCCTGAGGTGGCTTAGAGGTTGGAAAGAGATGGGATGTGGCTGGGATCATTGTAACCCAAAGAGCTTCTCAGAGTAGGGGGCTGGGGATAATTTAAGGGGCCCCAGAGGCTTCCTAACTGGGTTGGGGTTGGGGGCCAGAGCTTTAGTAGGCCTATCCTCCCTGGGATGCAAATTCCTGTAGGCTCTTTGGGATGGGACCCAGGAATCTGTATTTTCAAGTTTCTTTTTCTTTCTACCACCCAGATGATTCTGATTCATAGGCAAGGTCAGGAAACACCAATCTAGCCCTTATCCCTTATTTGCAAAGGAGGGATCTGAGACTAAGAGGGAAGGGGCTTGCCCAAGGTCACACAGCTAATCGTAGCAGGTTAAATGTATACTCCTGGGCTCCTGCCTCCAGCCCACCCTCAGACACCCTGACTCATCAGGTTCAGGCCCCTGAAGCTTATCTTCCTGGAGTAGGGTTGGGGGTGAGGGAGGGCTGGCATGGGTCTATCCACAGTCTGGATTCTTGGGGACAGTGAAAACATTCTGGAAAGATCTGTGCTTTGGAAGTAGATTGCAGGAAGCCATGCAACCTCTCTAGCGGGTCTGAGTGCTACCCTGGGGCTCAGTGCATTGTTTGGCTCCTGGCCTGTCTTGTAGATATGCCCACATATCACCAATGACAGGCCCATGCTCAAAGCCTGGTTTGTCCTGTCTTGACAGCCAATGTGGCCAAGTCCCCAGGGGGCTGGGCATTTAGTACCATTAGCCTGCGATGGCTAGGCTTGGCTGCTGGGGCTACACCCCAAATACATTCAGGGAGTTGGTACTCAGGAAACTGGCCTCACCTCCAGGCTGGTGGGGCCTCTCTATATCCAATGGGTTCCAACAGGCCTGGCAAGAACCCATGTGTTCAGAGGTGGGGGTGAGAGAAGCTGGCTCTGAAGTGGAGAACAAGAGAACCAGGATGACCCTCAATAACAAGGAATTTTCTTTATCTTCCTGAATGCAAACTGCTGTGCACCAAACTGACATCAAGTGATCAGCTCATTGGGCTGTGTCCTTGGCTGCTTTTCAAAGATACCCTCCAGTAGGGGCCAGAGTCATTACCCTGTAATTTCCATGTCAGGCGGGACCTTGGGATACATGTGTTATAACCAGCATTCTACAACACTCCCCACCCCACCTCATACCCCAAGATCTCTAACAAGGGATATCAGCTTCTGTGAATGAAAAGCGGTAGGGGACTCACTACCTCCCAAGACAGATGATTTCATTTTCTGCCAGGGCACTGCCATTCATTCATTGCCAGACATTTATCAGGCAGCTAAGTGCCAGCCAATGGGTCCTGGAGGACCTCACGAGGCCACAGTAAGTCAACATCTCATTGTAACTCAACAGTTCAACTCAGTAAATATTTCTCGTAGAATGTAAGGTTTGGGGGACAGGCAGTGAACAATTTTATTACAGGGCGCAGAAGGAGCAGAGAGCAGGGGCACTCCGTCCAGCTGTAGGAGCTAGCGGGAACTTCAGGGGTGACTTCTAGATTGAGACCTGCAGCATGACTGAACTGACCAACCCAGGAGTAGGAAAAGGCAGGCTGGGTGGAGCCACCAGAATGGGCTAGATCCTGCAGGAGAGCTTACTGAATTTCCTTCTCTGGCTGGAACTCTGAGCCTCCAAGGAAGGCTGACAGATGGAGGGCTTACTGCACTCAAAGGGCCAAGGGAGGTTCTGTGCGATGGGGATGGGGAAAGGTTAAGTTCTGGAAGAGGAGGGATTGGAGAGGAAAGCACAGGCTACATTCTGGGGGTCTCATAGTCATGCCAGGGAATTTAGAGTTATCCAAGGATGATGGGTGCTTCCTCACTAGATGGGAGTCCTCCTGGGGTGAGCTGAAATCTGCTTTCCTGTGGCTGCTCTGCAAGGCGCTGTGCTAGGCCCTCACTTCATAGAATCCTCCCGATTAGAATCTTGAGGTGAGTTAGCCTCCCAGGTTCATTGTCTCTTCCCAGGATCCCCACAGACATCTCACTCCCTGAGGCTGGGGTTGGGAGAGGATAAGGATGCTGGATCTACAGCTGGTGTCAGAAAAGACTTTCTTGGCCAGGGCTTCTCTGAGTGCAGTCTGAGGATTACTTGCATTTGAATCACTAGGTGGTGGTGGTGGTGGGGGGGGGGGGGGAGTGGTTTGCTTTGTTTTGTTTTGTTTTTTAATGTAGATTCCTAGGCAACCCCTGACCTTCTCAGTTATATTTTCAGAGGGGGAGGAGGAGGAGACTGCATTTTATTTATTTTTATGACTTTAAAAATTATTTATTGTTGAAAGTATTTCATATGTCTCCTTTCCCCCCATTGACCTCTCCCTGCCCGCCTGCCCTCTCCCCTCCCCCCAAGCACAGTCCCTCATCCCCCTACTGTCTGTGTCCCTTGGTTATGCTTATATGCATGCATACAAGTCCTTTGGCTGATCTCTTACCGCCCCCCCCCCCCGCCCCCGCCCCCACTGCATTTTAAAGAGCACTCTGGGTGATTCTTCAGAACATGAAAGTTTGAGAACCAGTGTCATTTGTCAAATAAATGTCAGTTCTTCCCACTCCAGACTCTATAATAGCTCCCTACCCCGTCACAGATCTTGTCTGGGCTGCTGTGGGTGGAGGATCACCTGGAGAGTGTACTTAGGGGAGGAGTAGGGCACACACATTCCTGACATTGCAACTCATCTCTTCCCTCACCTGGCTCTACCTTGCTGCTTAGGGAGTAGAAGATGGTGTGTGTGTGTGGGGGGGGGGAGGGGGGCAGCCCGGAAGCCGGGTGCAGTAGTTTCCCCTGGAGCTTACTGAGTCTCCTTCTCTGGCTGGACCTCTGAGCTTCCACGATGCCTGGAGAGGGCTCAGTGAGGAGCCCTTTAGCTGGGTTTCAGGCTGTGCTTGGAGCAGGAGCCACGGTACCTGGGAGCCTGCCGCCAGGCCCTTGCAGAGGAGCAGCATCTTTCTCACTTCCTGGAAATTCCAGATGTGGGAAGTGCATGGGGTTTGGCTGTTCTTTTAGAGCTGGTTTTAGTAGCCTCGTGTCTGATTGCTCACTTAGCCAACTCCCCACAAAGCCCTCCAGGGCCCTTGGTCTGTACCAAACCCTGTGCTGGGCGTGAGGGCCAGGGGCATCACACTGGGGCCTTGCCCTAGAGGAACGGACAACGCAATCACTAGTGGGAGAGACCTTCCTGCCTGGAGATTGGGGGTGGGTGTTGGTCTGAGCTGTATGAGAGGCAGAAATGATAGGTTGCTATGGAAACACTGGGACTAAGCCCAAGTGGGAGGGTAAAAAACGTTTTACAAAGGCAGGTGATTTTGAGCTGGGTCTTTAAGGGAGAGTGGGAGTTTTTCGTGTAAACAAGATAGGGGTCATGACTAGGGGTTAAAGTGTATGAGGTCAAGACCAAACAGGTGTGTAGAAATCAGACTTGGGATGCTTGAACAGGCCATGCTAAGGAGTACAGATAACAGGGAGTCATTCACTTAGTTGGTCAAAGGGTCTACAGTTGTGTGTGTGTGTGTGTGTGTGTGTGTGTGTGTGTGTGTGTGAGATTTAAGATTTAGAAGCTGTGTGGAGAGATAGTGGCAGGGAGATCAGAAAGAAGGGTTTTGAGGTAGTTCAGGCAAGAGAAGTCTGGGCTCTGCCTACTACTTAGCTCAGCTATGTAGAATATTCTTAACAGGGAACAGAAAAGGTCCTGGGCTGGAGTTCTAGCTCTGCGAACTAGCTATGTGATCTCTAGCACACCCCTCACATACGTGGGCCCTAGCTGCCTAGCTGTACTCCTACTACGTGCCAGCCTCTGTGCTAGCTACAGGGGATAGGACACTGAATGAAACAAACATGGTTCATTCCCTCATGGAATGCAAGAATTAACAGGCAATTGCAATTGCAGAACCCTGTGTAATGTGGGGAAATACTGGGGACCTCATAGGCACCTCATAGGGAGGTCACTGAGCCTCTTCTCTCCTGCTGCTTGTGTATCTCTTGTAGCAGTGGTGGTCGGCTGTATTTTGATATAGTTTGGATCCATCACTTTTGGGGGGATGGGGGAGGGGTGGACAAGACATTCTCTGAAACGAAGGGAGATTTCCATTGTCAGTGTTTTATCCTGGATGAAAAGCATCCAAGGTCAGGAAATGTGGATTTGTCACAGAGGCTCTGGGAAGAGTTAGAAGGAGCAGCTCTCTGTGCTTCTCTCTCTTGGGCTTGAACCTGAGCAATCTAGTTAGGTCCGTGTCTAAGCAGCCTCTCCTGCACTGAGACAGGATCCTGGGAGGGCAGGATGCCAGGGGCCAAAGTTGGGGAAGGGGGCAGCTCCATGACTAGGTGGCATTCCACTTTTATGTTCTGCTAATTCCTTTTAGCCCTTTTTGAAATCTTAGTTTCCTAAAATTTCATTACAAAGCATCACAAACTGGTGGCTCTCATAGTTCAGGAGTCTGGAAGTCTGAAGTGGAATTGTTGGCAGCATTGGTTCCTTCTGGAGGCTTTGAGGGAGAATATGTCCCAGTCCTCTCTCCTGGCTTCTGCCGGCTGCTGGGTCTTTGGTACTCCTTGACTTGTAGAAGCATCGCTCCAATCTCTGCCTCTGTCATCACATGGAATTCTTCTCTGTGTCTCCTCCATGTCTCTGCTGCCAAATTTCCCTTAATAAGACACCTGTCATTGGATTGGGGGCCCATCGTAAATCCTAAAGAAGAGACTCCCCCTTCCTTCCCAGTGGGATCGCTGAGCTTCAAGTCTTGCTTGGCTGTGCCCTGTGGTAGGTGACAGCCCCTCCCCCTAGACTGCCCAGCATGGACAGTGCTGAGGTTATCACCCAGGAATGCTAGGAAGGTGACCAACACCAGGGGGCAGCAATAACAAGGTGAAGGGTTGGGGGTGGGGGAGAGGTGGAGAAGGTTAGAAAAGTAATGCCCCTGTTCCCCTGTGAACTTCACATCCAGACCCTCTTCTGCAATTGCTCAGCTCACTCCTTGAGGACTGGTTCTCCTCAGGATCAGCAGTCATTTGGCCCTTAGTAATCGTAGATTTGCCTTGTTCACTATATTTTTAGGGAGCCTTCCCTGTCTCCCCTACTAAATTGTAAGGTCCTAAAGAGCAGAGACAGTGTTTATGACTCTGTATCTCCTTGAACAGATACAAAGAGTTATAATCTATATATATAAAAGCCTAAGTGACCATCCTACCATTCGATTGTCTGACCAGTAGCTATGTCGCCCAATAACCACCAGGGGGCAGACGCTTAACGCAGGAGCTGCAGAGCTACAGTGACTTGGCAGCTGCGCTTCTCTTCTCGGGTGAAGCATCCGGAACCAGAGAGGAGGGAGCCTGATTCCAGGGTGCACCACCCGAGAACCACCTTCTTGCAATCCGGGACCCCTTCGGAGATGTCGGCGAGCCGGTTTCGGCCTGATCCCTGCAGGCCAGGCTGAGGGACCCCACTGGTGCAGGAATCTGTGCAGCGGGCCTCTAGTGAATAATAAAAGCTGCCATTTTTGTGATGCATGTTAGGAGAGTGCTTTACATGTTTTACTCCAAGTTTGCTGCAATCCCAAACCAAAGGTCAGAGATGTTTGTTAAGAGCAACAGCAACAGAAGGGCGTGCTCACCTCCTGGGGCATCATCATACCCTTTATATAGCTCACCTCATTTAAGCCTCTCCCAACAATCCTGAGATGCTGCTCCTATTACTGTCCTCATTTTATAACGAGGAAGCTGAGGCAGAGAGGCCTTAAGTCATGTTATATAGTCACAGAGCTCCTTAAGGACAGAGCTGGCATTTGAAGGCTATCTTCTAATGCCAGGTCCAACCGTATTTTCTACAATACTGCATCCAATTTCTTATTGCATGGGTAAAATTAGGTTGAAAGTAAACATCTAGTGAAGTACAGCATAGGGAATGAAGTCAATAATATAATAACTATGCATGTTGTCAGATGAGTACTAGACTTATCGAGGTAATCACTTCGTAAGGTATATAAAATGTCCAATTGCTATGTTGTACACCTGAAACTAAGCCAATATTCTATATCAACTGTGATTGAAAAATAAACTTTAAAAAAGGAGAAAAGTAAACACCCAGGGCTGCCTTCAAATAAGGCAGCCAGACAACCCAAAGCTTGAACTTCAGACTTTTAATCAAAGGCTCTGGGCTTCGTGCTCCTGTTTGGAAATTGTGCACTTCTATGTAGCAAAATGCAGGGGTTGGACTGGTCCAAACAGTGCCTGAGATCCCTCCCAGTTCTAACACTCCAGGAGTTCATGTCACAAGCAGCAGTGTACAGAGGAGCCTGTAGAAGTGGCCCCCACTCAGGGTTGCTAGATAAAATACAGGATGGCCAAGTCCTACCTCCCCAGTCTCTGGCTGAAAGGGTGGAGTGGGGAAGGGGTAGATGGGCTGATTGGGGGCAGAACTGAGCCCCTTTCCTCTTCATTCTTTAGGCTCTTTAAGGATGTTGTTCAGCCTCAGAGAGAGGTCTTCTTCATTCCTGTCCCCCTGGTGGCAGAGGGCAGAGGAAGAAAGTAGGCCAAAGCCTTGACCTGCCTGGTACCTGGCCAGCCCCACACCCTGGCTGTGCAGACAAAGCTATAGTACATAGATTCAATCAGGCGCTGAGACACTTGCTTGCTTGCCCCTAACGTGAGTGATTGTGGAGAGCACAAAAGGCTTTTGCAAGGCAGGGAAGATTACGTTTCTCTTCCATTTTGGTTTGTTTTGTATTATTTTCTCTAGCCTGAAAATTCTAACATTTCCTGACTGAGCACCCCACCGGCTACTGACCACAGTCTCGCCTGGTTTTGGAGTTTCCCAGTTTTGGGTGGATGGCCTTACACAGATTCCTGCCTTGATCAAGACTCCCCACTGTTGTTTCTTTGAGGTTGTCATTGGTCAGAGTGACCTTCTCTTACTGTCACTAAAATTCTTGTTGGCTTAATTATTCAGTAGCCATCCAAAATTCCATTTTTTATGCAGTTTACAGTACTAATTCATTATTTATCAAACATTCTTTTTTTTAAAAAATATATTTTATTGATTTTCTACAGAGAGGAAGGGAGAGAGACAAAGTCAGAAACATCGATGAGAGAGAAAC